ATAATTAACATTATAATTTCCTATCTTTATTAAATTTTTTTCTTTAGAAAATAACACATTATTTTCCAAGTCATATATTTCAAGAAACATATATTTACATAATTAATATTAGAAATGCTGAAAATCGCAAGGGCAACATATTTGTAACTATAATTTGCAATATGCAAAATAAAGAAAATCGAATTATTATCTCTAATGCCTTTCTTCTTTATAAAACCAAAGAGAACTTGGATAAACATATTGGGAAATTGTTTTAACAAAGTTTTCTGCATATTAAGGTATACCTGGTTTTATTTATAGCCTATAAAGTTTTTCACCATATATATTTGATGAAAGATTTTGATTGAAACTTGATTAAAATCTTAAATCATTTCACTGATGCAACCAGCTTCCTTATAAAAGAAGTGATGACTTTTATAATTACATATTTGGGAATTTGAAATGATATTTTAGAGTAGAATAATATAATTAGCTGTGAAATAGCAGCTAGAACAAGTTTTATACATGCATATACACACACACACACACACACACATACACAGAAATGGAAGAACTTTTATTGTACAATTTGAAAGAGGAAGTAGTTCTGATTTAATAGCTCAGAATTTCAACTCTACTATGTTGTATGAATTTTTGCCATATATTAATTGCTATTAGAGCCATTGTACGTTCTTATAGGTTCTCCCATCTAGTGAGAGTTTGTCTTCTCAATACAAAACTGAGATTCCATTCTGTGTTTGGGGTCCTGCACCCACTTTCAGGTTGCCTTTTTTTTTCCTTTCAGCATTTTGAATTGAAAGCCTGGGGGCCCCTGCGCTTCTCTACAAATTCTACCATTCAGATGTTTTCCGGTTTAGCTTCCTATCCCATTTAGATTCAAAATATGGCATTTTGAGAAAGAAGCTTGTATTTGTTGGCAGCCATTGCTCTAGTATGACTTTGATTGAAGTCCCATTGATGGCAATGGAGGCTAGAATGTTCCCTGTCCAGGACCCTGCCCTGTGCTGAGAGTGTGAATTTACAGTGTGGGGAGGGGACTTCCTGGTGTTCTATGGCTCAGGTCCTTGCTGCATTCTCTTTTCAGTTCTGCCTGTTCAGGCTCCTCACATCCAGAGATTAGTATACAAATCTCCTCTCTGTTCTCCTGAGTAACATGGAGTCCTGGGGGTACCTACAGGCCTGTCCTCAGGTTCCCAAGGAGAAATCCCTCACTGTGCCAGCATATGGCATAATGCTTAATAAGCATATGGTTCTGAGTTGCTTATTAAATGTTTGAGCAGGTTTTAAGTCCCTCCACCTCAAGGTGTGCCCTATTCTGATGGAGCAGTTCTGCAAGTAGCACCTGGGAGGGCCAGTGAGCAGGGAGCTACCAGTCTGAGTACCATTTAGTCTGCTACAGGGTTTAAAGAAGAAAGATTTGAGCCTGGCTCTCTGCAGAAGCCTTGGTGTAGTGTATACACCAACAGAGGGGAAGAAGCGGCTCCGGACTACCCTGGACCAATCATCTCTCTTGGCAGCCATGAGTAGGGGAGAGACAGGGAGGAAAAGAGTCTTAATGAAGGAAATCAGCACTCTAGTTGTCTCTGCCACTGTCTCTGAAAGTCAGTTTGTCCAGAATGTCCAGGCTCTGGAGTCATGCAGATCTCGTGGGACCCCCTGGCCTCTGTGGCTCCCACAGTTTGGGCTGGAGTTGGGAAATGTTTGTATGGGAATTGGTAGGTAAAAGGAGGTGCCAAATCAAATCACAGGAGTCAAAATGTAACAAACATGAAGAAAAGTTTATTTTGCCCTGGGTGCAAGCCAGCTGAGATCAAAAGGGACGTCAGGAATGTTAGGGAGGGCGGCAGTTCTTTTTATGGCAGCTGAGGGGCAGCTGGTTTACAGACAACTCTTTCTCATCAAGATGCCAAGGACAGCTCATTATTAGGACTCTCTGGGTCCTCTCTCCAGCTTCTCTCCTCAGGGCATCAGAGGCTTGTGATGTAAGCATAGTTCTTATGGGTTTGTAACTGGACTGGTGCAAGGAGGCAACAAGCCTGTGGCATGTCTCCCTTATTTGAGTTGTGTCCGCCTGTAACAGAGTCTTACAGAATAGTCTTTTCAGATCTAAGATGGAGTTAGCTTGGCCCACCTAACAGGAAGGAGCAAGATGAAATCTGAAAGGCTGATGCTCCCTGGGAAGGATAAAGGAACATGGTGGTTGGAGAATCAGTATGGCACCTCCTGTTTTGGCTCAGATCTGTGGCAACAGGAAGTGACCCCAAATGAGCAGGCAACCTGGAACTTTGTTTTCAAGAAGTTCCCAGTTCACTGGCAAAGGCAGATTTTGGGCTTGTGAGGTTGGAAAGGCTGTGCAGCAGCGCAGGAGCCTACAGCCTGCAAAAGATGTGAGGGAGAAAGTAGGAACCTCTGCACCCCAGCTTTCTTTGGGCTTATGCCTCTCGCAGGTTGATTGTTGCCAGCATTTTATTTCTTCTTGTTTTGCTCTGTAACTTCTTCCCATGGAATCTCTGATAGGTGCTGGTCCCTTTCTCTCAGAATTATACCTGCTCTATGAGGTTTTATCTTCTTTTTCATCTAAAACTCTTCCTTTGTAAGACAATCTGGCAACTGATGTTTAGACATCTTTTCTCTCTTTCCCTTTAGGATACAGTTTTTAATGTTCTGTGTTTCTTTGAGTAACTGACTGCCCATTCAAAGGCTAGCATTTACTCCCATGACCTATATTGATTTCCTAGCTAATAAATAAGACCAGGAATATGAAAGTCAAATATTTTTATCTTGTTGTTGGGATCTAGATTATGCTGTATAATGTGGAATTTTTCTAAATAAAGAATGGTATTCACATACTGGTCATGAGTACAAAAAGACATGCTAAATGTTAACTGTATCTGCTCTCTATGTGCCTTCCCTATTTTCTGTGATGATAAGAGATCACCAACAAAGATGTTACAATCTTATGTAAATATACTGTTTTCCCCTAATTTTTTTTTTTTTTTTACCTCATTTAGGGTACTACCTAGTGTGTAAGTATTGTTTAAATAATTGTTAGTAGATAGAATTTCAGATTTGTTTTACTAATCATTAGCCTAGAATGTTTACTTGAAATATTAATCTCTTGGTCAGATAAAATTAGAATTGAAAATGAGTAAGATGAGGTCAGAAACATCAATGAATTAGACAAGCAGGGAATAACGTTTCAGAGAAGTATAACTATACATAGGAAGAGGTAATCACAGACAAGGGTAGTATATATTCAATTGATAGGAGAGCCAGTTTATCTAATGGAAGTTAAAGTAACTTTCCTAGAGGGACCAAGCTATTGTTGAAAAAAATTGATTGATCAATGATGCAGTTTCTTGTCTTTGATTCAAGACATTGTAAAAAAAGAAAAGATTCTTATGGGCCCATAGTCAAACCTACTTATCACACTTAGTCTAGGCACTAGAAGAAGGAAAGGTGGTGACTAGGCAGAGGATAATGGGAGGCAGAAAGAATGATAGCTCCTAATAAGAAAATTAAAATATATAGCAGGCACAATCAATACTGAGTACTCTGGGTGTGTTATGTGTTCACTTTCCTTTCACATAACCGCAGAGACAATTTCAAAACATACACAAGTCCTGATACCAATATTGCTTATCCACAACTTACCCTTACTATATATACTCTTGATGCTACTGGTATATCTTAGATGGCTTACCCATTATGATAACATTTAGTGTTTAATACTCTACTCAAACCAGAAATGTGGCATTTTGTATGAGAATCTCCTACTCTAGTCATATCAGTACTCTTTGTGATTCTTTGAAAGTGGAAGATAACTTTATGAGCATATGCAAAAGAAAGTATATTTTATAAAGTATGGTTCCTAGAGAGATTTCAAAAGCATTTTCTCTCAGTATCCAAATTTGTTTTATTTGAAACTTTAAAATAGTCCTTATTTGCTCAAAAAATGATTCATCAGCCTTTTATTTTTTTGCATTGAAATTAGTATGGAATAGTAAGATTTTATTCCATTTTATAATAATAGTGAGGTTATCTTAACACACTGGAAACAGATACCAAGTTTTTAAACTAATTTAACCTTCACAATAACTTTATGACAGAAATGCTATAATCTTCTTACTTTACATATGATGGAACAGAATCAGAGAGGTTAAGTGATTTTCCTAAGGTCACATAGCTAGTAAGAAGCAGGTATTTGGAACCCAGGAAATTTAGTACTAGAGTCTATACTCTTAGTTACAGTAGTCTTCCTACCTACCAGGAAATCATTAAAACTTAAAAATGTTTGGTCATTATACATCATATATATGAATAGATTTTGAAAGAATATGTTATTTTAAAATAATTTGAAAATGAGTTTTTAAAAGTTTTATTGAAATAATTAGCTAATTGTTTAAGGCATTAAGTATCTAACAAATATAACATTTATGTTTAATTTAGTTTAAAATTATTACTATATTGACAGTTATTAATATCCATGTTGGTTCATATTGATTAAAAATGTTACTTTAATTACAGATCATATAAAGAACCATAATTGATGGAAGGAGAAGCCTTTTAACTTAATTGGAATCTACTAAAAATGAAATAAGCAATCTTATTTTGTAGAATAAGTACACTTACACAGAACAGTATAGCACAAGTAGTTTGCTGCTTATGAAAACAGATTATCATTGCTGTCATTTCTGCATGAAATAAAATTTTTATTAGACTTGAATATGAGAGTTTGATCTATATCATGAAGGGTATTTTTAAAGAATATGGTCCTAAATTTTAGAATTCTATTTATTTTACTTTAATTGTGATTAGTCAACTTACACTTTTATTAGGAGGGCATAAATTTAGAAATCTTCTTTTAAATTTCTATTTTTAATGACTAACAAATATTTTTGTATTTTTCTGTTTGAAAAATTGCTTAATATGAAAATCTATCTTATTGAATATTTTTTATATAAAACATATTTATGCACATTCATTCATATTTTTTCCAGGGTGTTCCACCACCAGGCCGCTACGATGTGCAAAAATCATATGAGATGTCCCAAGTTAAACATAAATACATGCCACCTCGTAGTTTAGTAGCCAAAAGGAAACATACCTCTTTTCTTAGTGCGGCACCTCGATGCCTGGGAAAATTGCCTGATGGGCCAGGTAAGTCTCGATTGTCTTTTTAAAGCTATGGGGGGAAAAGCTAAGGATTCCATATTAAGACAGTTAGTCATTGATAGGTTCTAAAAAACTGTGACTTTAAGCAATATAACATATAATAAAATCAATTTTTTTCTCATTGTTGTTAATAATGAAATGATGTTGAACCAAACAATGTTATTTGAGGACTTGCTGTACATTGGTTTGCTTATATACTTGACGTTTCCAAGAACTTATCCATCATACTTTTTTCCCTTTCTTTTTTATTAAGTCAAATACACATAGATCATGAATACATTTATGCATATGTGCGGTACAATGTGTTGATTTTTTTTTTATACAATCTGACGTGGTTACATCAAACCAATGAACATAGCTTTCGCCTCATTTACTTGAGTATTGTATTAAGACATTCATGTTCTACACTTGACAGGTTTGACTTGTATCTTTGCAATATTAAGTGAGCATTTATCATAATTGTAAACACCCTTTATGTTGACTACGCTTCTTTTAAGTGTGAAGGACAAAACCAAAAAGTAACATTCTCATTTGCTGAAAGATTTTAGATATATTTTTTTCAAATGTAAGATTTGTTAGGGTTTTATATTTCTTAATTTTACCAAAGGCAATTTTACCAGTTTTACTAAAGCTAATAAAGCCACCTAGTGTTTTATCAAGGAAGAAGCCAAAATTCACAAAATGTTAAAATTGTTAAAGGAGAAAAGACACTTTACCTTGATTTGGATTGTAGTGTCCAAACCCTGGGCTATAGACCCTTTCTAGTGTGTGTGGCCTGTTAGGAACTGGCCCGCACAGCAGGAGGTAAGCAGCGGGCCACTCAGGGACATTTCAGCTTTATTTACGGTCATTCCCCATCCTTGGCATCACTGCCTGAACTCATCGTCCTGTCACAAGCAGCAGCAGTAGATTCTCATAGGAGCACAAACCCTACTATAAACTGCACATACAAGGGATGTAGGTTGTGTGCTCCTTGTGAGAATCTAGTATTTGATGATCTGGGTGGAGATGTAATGTGCTTGAATCATCCCTTAAAATTGTCTTCTGTGAAACTGGTTTCTGGTGCCAAATGTTGGGGACCACTGATGTAGAAAATATACATCATGCCAGTTGCATGAAATTATTTTTATTTTTCTCAAGTATCAATAAAGCAGCTTTTATCTGAAAAGGTAAACATTCATTGAGTGTTTAAAATTCTAAAAATAATTTTGATCTTAAAAATTTGGATTAGTTCTACTATTAGAAATGGCATTCTTGGTCTAAAAATGAATGCAATAACTCTTACTGACTGTGAAGGTAAATCAGAAATCAGTTGGTATGCTGTTTTACATAGAGAAACTAGATAGAGAAGAGGAACAGGAATAGTATTCAGAAGCAATTTATAAATGTATTACCACTAAGAAACCAAATCATTGTAATAAATCTTTGTAAGAATATGAAGGAAAAATGAAACAGAATGAAGAAACATTTTTTCAGAGGTTATGATGATACTCTGAGAATGGAACCTGTGTAGCAAATACAAACACTTAGAGAGCCTGAGATCCATAGAGGCTTGCTTTGGTTTTCATTGTCTTTTGAGAATTAGACATACTGACAACTTAAAGACCCATTTTATGTTGAAATTAAACTTTTCTTATTGTTTTTTTCTTCTCTGGAGTTATTAAACTATTGTTAATTTTGTCTAGTTTTAGCTTTGCTATAATTCAAACTGTTTTGGAGTGTCCCTGGCTACAATCAGTACGTGGTCACCTAGGGAAATTAGTTCTTTGAAGTGCCAGTAGCATTACCATCATCAAGCACAATCAATCAAATAACAAATAAATACTTATATCAAGGTCTCTTGAAGTAGATTATGTTGAGCTTCATATTTCCCGATTTTTAAAAAATTTCTCTCATATTTACTTTCCTCTGAATAAAAATCCTTGTAGAGGGAATGAAAAATAAAAGTTTAGGTTAAGCGCCAAGATTGACTTTGTGACATTAATTTCTATTTTCCAAAATTGGGATAATATTCATCACCTACTTGTGTCTCATGAGAATACTAAATAGTTAATAAGACTATGTTTCAAAGTAATTTTCAGAACCTTTGCTCTTTTGAAGTATAAAATCTTACCATAATATGAAATGTGTTTCTTCCTAATGTTAAGCCCCCAACTTAGCTTCCAAAAGAATTTGAGAGGTAAGGGGAATGTCTTCATTATGAAGGCAGTTGTTATTTGGAAGTCAAAAATATAGTAACTGTCAAAGTCACTGTATAATGATTTTGTCCTGTGATTAAATGAATATTTTATCAAATTATTTAATACCAGTAATTCATCAAGTTTACCATTCTGCATCTTAAAGTGGCCCGTACTTCAAAGGAATAATAACAGAAATCCCACATGTCTCTATAATGAACACATTAGAAGAAGCCATATGGATTTCTGAAGCTATTATCATACCATGATGAAATTTGATTTTCTCTGATGTACAGATACTGTAGTGATTATAGAATTGTTCATTATTTTAAATTTAATCTACTATCCTAAGGTATATAGTCCAAAATATAGGTTTTACATAGATTTAATTATGCCTAGGGCCAATTCAATATTGTGCTTATTTTGGTAATTGAAGATTAACTTCTCTTTGTCTTTATTCTATTATATTAATCCAATCAAGGAAAATATATTCAGTGTGACGTTATCAACTCTCTAAATAGATTTCTAATTTTTAATTGATTTTTACTTAACTCAGTTTTTATTGATTAACATGGCAAAGAATTCTTGATTATTTTAAGTATAAATATAACTAATGTGGTTTTCTGTTCTAAAATTAAAATAGCAGATTTCTGTTTTCAGTTTTTAATAGCATCTGACTTTTGGTAGAGACAAATATGTGGATATCTTTGGTTTTTTTTTTTTTTTAAATCATTATGGGGGTGGTGCATGTGGCTCAAGGAGTAGGGCACCAGCCCCATATGCTGAGGGTGGCAGGTTCAAACCCAGCCCCAGCCAAAAAACTGCAAAAAAAAAAAAAAGGAAAAAATCATTATATAATCAAAAGAAATAGTGGTATTAGTTACATTTGTTTGTATCAGTCTTTAGCTTATGAATGATATTCTTTCATATCATATATTCTTATAAATAAGAGAAAATGTTTCTTTATCCAGTTATTTCTCATTTAAATATTGGTAATTTTGTTTTATATTAATACCAATGGAAAACATCTTTTTTGGTTGATGTAAAGTTTTTTATACATCAGTTATAATTTTCCTATAGTATTATGTGTACACATATGTATTATACACATATAATATATGCATGTATACATTGTACATATTGTACACATAAATGAAATTTAAGATTATTTGACTTAATTTGTAGAACATGATATGCATATTTGTTATTTAAGTCATAACATTGCTAAGAATTAAGTACTTTTCTCTATAGAACCTAAAGAAAATATATTTTGTTATATTTCTATATATAAAGTAATTAGAAAATTAAAATAGATTAATGAATATCTTACATTTGTAGGTAAGAGTGTTAAGAACTAAGGTTAATAAATATATGAATAATTTTCTTCTCATGAGAGTCACAAACTTCTAGGACATTCAATTACTCCACTTTTTTTGCATGTATTTATTTCAAATTATTTTAGAACTTCTACTATCAAATCTTAAGTGGTTTTCTTTTAATTATAAATGAAGTCTTTTTCTTTGCATATATTGAAGGAGGATAAAACTCATTTTCATTAGTTTAAACTAAAGAGGGAAATAGTATATATGTAATCAGTATACTATATAACATTAAATGTTGTGTGACCAATAAAAACACATTAGAATCATTTAATGAAGAAATTATTAAATGAGGTGTATCACATTATAAAGCAATCTCCTCTTATTACACCAAATTTTAGTTCGTGGATATGTAAATGATTTTGTGATTGATCTAACCCAGGTAAAGTAAAATTGTTAACTGGGGAAGTACTTAAACATTACTTTATCTCTTATAATGGCCTGTGTTGGGGGTTGGGGTAGGAATGCTCAGCAACTTCAAAAAGAAAATGGGTAAAAATATCATTAAATGTGGAAAACTGAGAGGTCTCATATGTTACATGGAAACATAACTGGTACCAGTTTTTCTCAAAGTCAAGTTAGCAAAATGTTTCAAATATGCATGTTATTTGACCCCAAAATTCTACTTCTTGAATTACCCTAAGAAAATAATTAATGCTATGGCCATAATTTAAACATTAAGGATGTTCAGCAAAGAACAGCAATAATGAAAAGTTTAAAATGTCCTAAATGGAAAGAAAAATGAAGTTTAGTTCATTTTAATACATCAACTGAGTTAAGTCCTATGATAATTGTAGAAATTGTATATATATATTTATTTAAATTTGGGAAGATCTTGTTAACAAGATAAGGTTCATCTATTCAGTCACTTAACAAGTATGTGCTGAAAGTCTCTTATGTATTAAGGACTATTCCAGGGACTTTGATGCAGTCCTGAATAAAATATGAACATTCTTCTTTCACAGAGCTTAATTTCAGGTATAAGTAATATTTAATAAATGAAAGAGATTTATAAATTAAGAGAAAGAAATAAAAAAGAAAAAAATGAAAAGTTAGAAAATAAAGAAAACCAGGTGCTTATACATGTTATGTGGCAAAATAAGATGGAGAAGGAAGATTGGAAGTTTTGAGTAGTTTGTGCATCAATTTCAAGTAATGTTATCATTGAGAAAATAACATAGAAATACCTTGGAGATTTTGGTAGGTTTGGCTCCAGACTACCACAATAAAACTAGTATAGTACTAAAAGGAGTTACATGAGATTTTTGGTTTCCCAATATATATGAAAACTATGTTTACACCATACTGTAGTCTATTAAGTGTGCAATAACATTATGTCTAAAAAAATGTATATACCTTTTGAATTACTAGAAAATGCTAACAATCATCAGAACCTTCAGTGAGTCTCAATCTTTTTTGTGGTAAGAGA